TAAACTTGGCTTAGCTTCTGGAAGTCTTTCAGACTAAAATAGGCTTTGTTTACTTACTGCATATATAAGAAGATATTTAATGCTTCAATAATAGTTAAAATCTCCTGGGTTTTATCAGTGAAGATGAACTTTAACATTTCTGGACCTACGTGATTAATTAAATCTATGCAGAAAGGCTTAATTAACTTCTGTATACATGAAGTATGCTCTCTGAACTCGGGTTTGCTGCTGGTACGTATTGTAAAATCTTGTGTACATGTCTTGGTTGGCTGCTTTTTATTAATTTATGTTTCTTAGCCATAAACCATTAAAAATATACTTTCAGTTATTTTTCTTCTGCAGTTAATGTTTGTCTGAGTGCTGTTATGGTGCAGGATATTGTTCTAAATCATTACTCCAACTAACTGGAGTATGGCAACTCTTAAAATACCTGTGTAGAAATACTATTCCTAAGCGAGTTTTAATTTTACACTTTGAACAGTTGCTTTTAACAGTTGTTTGAAATAGAAATAATAGAACTTGATGTTGCATTTAAAGTAGTACCAATGTTGTATTTAAAGCAGTACTTACACAGGCGAAGAGTTTGCCTCAATGCTTAATAAATATGTTAATGTTTTTTTCTCTTCAATAAAATTATACTGAAGTGTAAACCAGCTATGTTTAGGGGGGCTGTCGTATGGAAATGGCTTCATAATGTGGATGGAGCGTTATTAAAACTAGCAAATACCTGTGAGGGATTTGTCCTGCTTCTGTCATTGCAGTATTTAGATGTGGTTTTGAGAGGCTTCTAGAATGATGGTTGAATCTTTCTGCTCCAAAAGATCAAGATTAAATAATGTGGTTGATATAATTTGAAACAGTTACTTCATATTAAAGCATTGATCTGTGGTGATTGGACCTTCTGTCAGTACTTACTGCTCTTTTGGTATGTGCTTTTCACGCTGTTTTGATTGTGAGGATCAAGATAGATTGCTTACCTCCAGAGAACCCAACTGTGGCAGATATTTGATTATTGCCGTGTTGAGGGCATAATTTTTTTTCATTCACTGTGTTAACAGAAGGAGTATTGAAGTATTCATAGCACTGTAGAAAAATACTGTTTGAAAGAATAAAGCTGCTAATTTCAATGTTCTAAGTGATGAATGCAATATGTGTACGTTTTTTTTAGTTTTATCTTGATGCTTATTTCCAATTATATTTTCCCTCAATTGTTAGAACTTCCAGTACAGTACATAGAGATTTTTTTTTTTTTCTGCTTCAGATACTGCTGTTAGATCTGGCTGAAAGGCATTATCCTGTGATTCCCATTGTAGTTGAGGTTGGTACAGATACTGAATTTTAGGTACTTCTGTTAGCATTCACAGTTAATTAAAAGTAATCAATAAAACTGAAAAAGAACATCTCAGTTAATTGAATATAATCTCCATCCTGATTTCTAATATTTCAGTTTAGTCTTTGGTCCTCTTCCTTCCCTCTTTGTGTCTTTGCTCAAGCGTTTCCTTCTCAGTTCCTTAGTGTCATTAAAACACACACACATCTTTCCAGGGAACACCAAGAGGATCAACAGAGCAAGTGGAGTAAAACTAATACCAACTGATATAAATAATAGTTTAAAACTCATGCTGTTATTTCTGTTAGGAAAGTCTGTCATATACAAGATGTACCTCCTACATGATATTTTGAGTTCTGCAGCCTGTATTTTTAAAGGTGAGAAGTTATTTTGGGAGAAGAGGAGAACATGCACAATTAAACATTGTAAGTTTATAGGCGCTCTGAAAGTGAAGCCTGCTTTGAAAGAAGTGGAATCTTTGGAATGAAACTACCTAAAAAGTAGATGTTTACCAATTGCATGAAATAAAAATTTTCAGAATTTTCAGCTTATTTACTAAAAAAAAAACCACTATGAGGTTTCTTAAATTTTCTGGTGTTGAAGAGGGGGAGGTTTAGTGAAAGAGTCCAGAAAAGTACTGCAAGACCCAGGCTTGCTCATGCGGTATAAGTATGATTTGAAGATCATCCCTGTCAGAGGGCACTGGAGAATCTGAGCCTTACTTAGGATACAATATTTGTTCAAATTGCTTTGGTAAAATATCTTCTTTAGCTTATGAAAAATAATGACTTACTGTAATCAGTTCATTCATGTTGTAATAAAGTTTTATATATATATATATATGCACCTGGTGTATACAAATCTATTTTTTATTCTTTATGCATATGATACAGCTGTATCAGACTTTAAGAATGGCAGATTTTAAGATGAGTTCTGATGATGGAGCAGTTAAATGGTCCTTAGAACATGTAGGTAGTTTACCAGAAGTGGGGGCATAATTAATTTTCTCTTAACTGTTTTTTACCTTCATATTTCAGAATCATCATTGTAGTATGTGGTCACCCCATATGGCATAAGGAACAAAAAAGCACAAACCAAGGGTGATCTTTGTGTCCCCAGTAAATTCTTGAGATCTGTCAGGCTTGAACCTTGGTCTGTCTTTACCCCTGCTTTTACTAAGGACAGGGAGGGCAAATTACAGAGAACGATCAGAGACGATCTGCTCAGCCGTTATTTTGTATGCAACAGATCAAAGAGGGATGTAGAAGCTCTGTTCTGATTTTTAAGTAAATATAAACCAAAAAAAGTTAATGTGCAAAAATTTAAATAGGATTAGTTGGTTTTTCACTGTTTCTGAACTCATTTCTATATAAGTAAAATAGAAATGAAGATAAACTGCTATTCATACATTGAAAGCATATGCATTTGTTTTGTTTTTTCCACGTACATTTTCAAAAAGAGTCTCTGAAGGATGTGAGGTAGGCTTTGTTTGCCTTCTTGTGGAAGGTCTTTTAGGCAGGCAGATAAGAAAATTAGTTTGCGGCTAATGGTATTTCAGTAATACAAGTTATTCTGTGAATGCAGTGTAGTAGTAATGATGATAAACCCATAAGGTCACTTGAGATCTTTACAGAAACAGTCCTAGAGGATTTAAAATAAGATTTTTAAAAGGAAATAAACATGAACTTCTAAACTTCTGTTGTAAAAGTTGTTTTCAATATACCTATGTATATTAGAAAATACATGTATTGTGACCGCTTTCATATTACTACATGTAGTTAGTCTTTTGGTTTTAGTTATTTTTTTTCCCCTTCAAAGTCAAAACAAGCATATAGGTCAGATTTGTAGGTCAGTCAATGTAATTTATTCGGAAGCTGTTTTTGAATTTGCTAAGCTAAACCAGAAAACCACAGTATAATTTCTAGTGTCATTACATTAGTCATGAACTGACTTACAGAAGGAGTTAAAGCTGGTGCTCAGGAGTAGCCTTATATCCATGATCACATGAAACAAGCATGCTGGGTCTCTAACGTCACGTTTTCTCAGCCTGCTTGTAGGTTAATTATCTTTGTCATCTTGGCAAAGGATGCAGCGATCCTGCAATGCATAGTCATTTTAATTTTCCCCTCCCGCTTCTGAATGTTAAAAAAGGTTTTGTCTTTCCTGTAGAAGCTAAATCTGGTATTATATAAGCAATTATTGTAATTGTAACATCCGCATTGACCGTACAGAAAGTATAATCAATATTAATGCAGGTGTTGAGGAAGGAGTGTGTTGAGGAAGCTAAATTTTTGCCTGATGGCCTACCTTATGAAGGTAAGGACTGGAAATAGGTACATTTCAGAATTCATATAGAAAATGGAGGAGGACACTTGTTCAAATAAATACATATCCTGTTCTTCCTTATATGCATTTCTTTTTGCTAATTGCTGAATTATTATTGCTTTGTGCTAAGAAGTCCATTTGGGTGGTCTCATAGTAATGTAATTTATCACTTAATAAAGGAGTAAGTTTGAGATGGGTATCAGCAGTAGCCTATGTTTTACCCAAGACTTTCTAAGTCAATAATATTACTGCACATGTCGGGACAAGAGATGAATTTGTCCTGTGCTCTGACTTCATCCATCTTGGGATGAAGGCGATGACTGTGTCCGTTTGTGGTTCTTGCGCAGGACCTGCGGGAACCAAGTTGCTTTCTTTCATCCTCTTGAAAGAAGGGGCTTGTCTGAGTGCTCTTAGCAGCCTTTGGCACAGAAGGGCGTGGGGCAGGACTAGCAGTCGGTACTCACCCTGGAAAAGTGTAGGCAGGAATAGGAATGTGGGACAAGTGGTAAGGAGAATGACATTCCTTCAGGGAGGAAAAGCTGAGGTGATGGCAGAGGCGCAGGAACTTTTGATAGAGAGTGTAGGCGGGGCATGGGAAAGTGGAAGCAGTGTGCTGGGCGTGAACGCTAGCGCTGGTAGTCCAAAACGCTGATCTTCAAAGCAGAGCACAGCACTTGCCCTGGTGAAACATCTGATAGTTGATTGTGAGATATTTTGCTAAAAGGAAAACTGATGTCTTTAAAATGTAACACAAGCCTAAAGGCTTTTTTTTTTTTTTTTCTGATGATGGTTTCACCAGTTGATGCCCATCTGTAATGGGCATGGTGGTCATGGCCTTAGTACGGGGAAAAATAAAGATAGTTGTGTTTCAGAACTGGGCTGTAAAATCTTGCAATTGTCGTCTGGCTTAGATCAGTATTTTAAATTCAGTAACTTCATATTTCAGGTTCAGGAGCCTTTTGGCAGGGTTTTGCCCAGAGTTTTTGTTAAATATTTTGTTGATTTCATTCTTATAATGTTTGTTTGTTAAGTAGATCGTGCTTTTAAAGCTATAAATGTATAAACCTGTGTGTTCTCCAGGTAAATTTATATTGGCTTGTAAAACTTCATTATCTTCCTGCCTTTCTTTATGGATTTTTTTTTTTATTGTTTTGTTTTTAATGTTTGGTGTTTGCCTCTGCATGTTTGGGGGCAGGCAAGGGTGAGATGGGAGGGAAGAGGAAGAGGCATTATTTTAATACATAAAGGATGGCTAGTTTAATTTAGCCAGTTTCCAGGCTTGCATATGGATATGATGAATTCTTCTGTCTGTGAAATGAAAACATTTATTCTTTGTTTAGGAAATCTGAAAGGATAGCCCTACTTATGAAGAGATGACGTGTAATGGCTCAGATAACTCTGGGGCTTGTGCCACTCCAGACACGGACCGTGACCAGGAATGGGCACAGGAACAGTACCGACTAGGAACTTTTGTTGAATTTCCACTTGGCTGTCCGGTTTCAGCATCAGCACTAGCACGAGCTGGCTTTGTTTATACTGGAGAAGGTGACAAAGTGAAGTGCTTCAGTTGCCATAGAACTACTGAAGGATGGGCATCTGGGGATTCTGCAGTTGAGAGACACAAAAAGCTTTCCCCAAATTGCAAATTTATTACTGAATCTACTTTTCTGGAAAATAACATACATCCGCTCGCCCAGAACTACCAGCACAGAACTGAAAAGGGTTCCAGCGGTTCATTTTTCAGCCCTCCCGTGTACTCTGGATGACCCAACTGATGTGGAGGCAGATTACCTTTTGAGAACTAGGCAGGTTGTGGATATGTCAGATAATTTTTATCCTAAAAACCCTGCTATGTGCAGCGAAGAGACAAGATTAAAGTCTTTTCACAACTGGCCCCTCAATGGCCAGTTGACACCAGAGGAATTAGCTAATGCTGGATTCTATTATACAGGTATTGATGATCAAGTGGCATGCTTTTGTTGTGGTGGAAAATTGAAAAAGTGGGAACCCAGTGACAGAGCTTGGTCAGAACACAAGAGGCATTTTCCCAAATGCTTTTTTGTCCTGGGCCGGGACGTTGGAAATGTTCCAAGTGAATCTGTGCTGAGCATCCAAGGAATCCATCTATGGCAAAATATGGAAGACGTTTACAAACATTTTTAACTTGGATATATCCTGTTGACAAGGAGCAACTTGCTGAAGCTGGGTTCTATAGCATAGGTAAGCCAGACTGTAAAATGGCTAATATCTTTTACAAAGAAACTTTATATGAGTGTCTTGTTATGAAAAAATAAGCAATTTGTTACTCTAATATGGAATGATTTGCCAGAATTTCTTTACTCTGTAAACTACTTTTCATAGTTCTTGTGTAAAATTATATACATTATATCAAGTGTTTTTGATAGCAAAGTATAAACTTGGTCATAAATTCATTTTTAGCAGTAAGACATCAGTGTGTTTTCCTTGCCTGCTAAAACCCTCATAATACAGCTTTCACAATGACAATTATTGAAGTTAATGTTTTTTAAAAAATGAAGTGCTGTCCTCCAGATCTACCTTAGGCCTAAGGAGTGGGCTTATGGCTCCCACAGAAGTCTACGAACAAGACAATCCAGGTTGTGTGCCATTTTATTTAGTTAACATGTGTTAGCATTTGGACACCCGAAACTAGCAAATACCATTACTACCTACTGTAAAAGCTTTATGAAGACAATGGCTTCAGTGGAAGAGCTTGTACTCTTAGACATGTAGTGTATGACTTGGGTAAGACTCCAACATCTTTGTGCATTGGTTTCCCAATTAGATTGAATTGCACAGTGCTGTTAAAGCTCTTTGAAATTCTTCACTGAGAGATGCTGTATGAGTGCAAAGTGTTGCTATTATTAGGTCACAAAGAAAAGGGATAAATATCCAGGATAAATTCTTGCTCTCATCTTAATTGGCTTCTCTCTTAGTAGCTCTCGGAAGAACTTTTTAATCTGATTCCATTTGTTTTATTTGTGGCCATAAACAAAACCTTTGATATATTTTTGTGTGAGTGATATATGGGCAATATTTGTACCCAGTAGAACTGTATTTATTGATTTCTTCTTGGATTCCTAAAAGTACCTAGCTTCTCACAGCCAAGTGAGATCTGTATTGTGGAGGTGCACTAAGTGGGCACCAGCTTATCAGACCCGATGGCTGTTCAAGTCACTTCTGTGAAAACTGTTTCCTGTGGCCTGAGAATGATTTAGCTCTGTAGGAAAAATCTATCCATACCTCCTTTCATTTCAATAAACACAATATCTAAGCAGTTCCTGGCACAGTCTTTGATTACAATAGGCATAGTGCTAGAACGGAGAGAATGCGATTTCTCCTAACATCTCCTCAGTCAGTTATGCTACTACTAGGTAGAGCCCATTAATCTTAATGGTGAAATGGAGGACCAAAAAGGCACGTAAACATCCTTAATTCTTTGTGCTAGACTACTTTATGGCTTGTTTACCAGTGCATTGAGCTATTTGATAATAGATTATTTTCAGCTTTCGCTTTTTATCTGTATAATTACTTGTTAAAATAAAATCCAGGAATATTTCATGTGACTCTTGTTTTGTATTTTTTAAGCTCGAGTCTCTCCTAAACATTTGTTTCAAATCTTACGTATTATGTCCTCCTTGAAAATGGAGTTCCTTTTAGTTACAGTTGCTAATCAATAAAATAAATATTTTTTCTTAATAATGTAACGTTGTAGTCGAAAATTTACTGTTATGCCTACTAGAAGAATGTAACCTTATTCTCGTGTATTTCCTTAGGTAATGGTGATCATGTTGTGTGTTTCCACTGTGGTGGAGGATTGCAAGAATGGAAGGAAAATGAAGACCCATGGGATCAACACGCCAAATGGTTTCCTGGGTAAGGTATTTTTTACTGTTTTCTTGTTGCATGTCTGAGTCTTATTTACAGTATATTACGTTTTAATGACAGAGCATACTACTAAAGGTTTCAGAAGGTTGACTATGGCTTAAGATTGTTTAGATTTAAGAAAATAACTTAATTTTTTTAGTTGCCCTCCTCCACTTCCTTCTCCTTCATTTTTGTCATGTAGGCACCAAAGGAATATCAGTTGTCTTCCATGGCTTATATTTTTCCTTTTCAATAAGTAGAAAAGATTTTAAGGGTTTTTTTTGCATGGGGTCCTTATTTTTGTTGTTCCATCTGTTCCACCTTCTGTAGTTCTGCTATTATATGTATACTCATCAACATATGCTCTAATGTTATATTGGAGGCCTCAAAAGAGGACATTAACCCAATGTTTTCTTTGAGAGGTAGGAGGGAGTTCTTCTAACGTGGGTGGGAAAGAGAACTAAATGTCAAGAGGTTGAGGACACAACTAACTCATTAGAGGTGATCAGTCTGAAAGGTTGCCCTGAAACTGTACCTTCTGAACAACTTTACTTTTAAGTCAGTGTTGTTTGTATGTCAGCTTGTTTGTAGGAATTATTAAAAGGAAGAGAAGATTTCTGTGTCTTGGCTTAACTGATGTCTAAGCTAGCAGAATCATGAAGTTTTGCGAATACGTATCTGATTTTTTTTTTTTCCCTCCTTATTATCCAAGCACTACATTCTAATTGTTATTTTAATAGCTTCATACATGCCAAAGTTTGTAACTTATGTCAGAATACAAAATGACTAACCTTCTGTCATGGTGCAAACAAACCTGAAGAAGTAAGTAGTGGTATTGAATTCAAAACATACTTCTACATAATTTTAAAGGATTGAGGATTCCAGACCCAGAAGTAGTTTTTAGAAAGATGGCCAATTTTGTCTAAAATCTGTCTTGAAGAAAGGAAGAATAGTATATGACTCGTTGCTTCTTACAGGTGGATAAAAGCTGTCCGAGTACAAAGACTTAGTTACTTTTATAGCATTGATAAAATCAATGTCTTTTATGCGTTAGCTGCCGAATTTGTCTTCTGTGGTGAGAGGTCCTCTGGAAGCTGGAAGTTAGTATTTATGCGTTAGCTGATCCTTTTTCAATAGCGGTACGTGCAGCTTTTAATTATTAGTCTCTGCCACTTAAAAGAGATGCCATTCCAAGTTTTTGGCTTGGTGCAGTGAATGGTTAAGACATTTTCTTGCTACATTTCACTCCTCCTTATATGTGTTTGATTTGGTTTTAGGTTGCTTAAATTATGTCAGATTTGATTACTTCCTCTTAGATCATTAACTGTCTTATATGGAGTTTTTGTTTGCACATCAACTTCAGTGGCAGCGTATCAGTCTCACAGCATGCTGTCTATGTCCATGAACAGGATACCATGAAGGTGAAGTAACTGCTGAAGCTAGAGAACTATTGTCGAGGAGTTATGGCATTCCCTAAATCTTCTGGTAGGGAAGAGCTCTGCCCAGTGGCTAGGACTGGTTGGAAAACAGTGAAAGAAAGCACGTAAGGCACCTGTCTGACCAGTGGCTGCTTTTCTTTGATTGCAAAAGACTAAAAGAACCAACATTTTAACATAATGTTTGTTTGTCATTGGAGCCTTTACTTTTATAAACCTGTGGAATCAGCTGTCATGGCCAACAACTCTTTAGCTTTCCGTTTCACCAAAAATGTGAAAAAGATAAGTACTGCTGAAGTAATTAAGATGTTTTTAGAAATGTTTAAATGACATTACTGATGTTGACTAAACACGTAGAGATTTCAAAAGCAAGCATTCTGTATGATGTAGGAAATGTATCAAAGCTTTCCGAAGTTATGTAGTCAATTTTTGTTTGCTGTTTATGCAGTTTTATTATAACTAAATATTTTCATTTATAGGTGTGGATTTCTGAGAAAGGAAAAGGGGCTAGAATTTATAAATAATGTTCACTTAAGAGATGGATGTAGGGCTTCAACAGTAAGTGTCTTGCGTATTAATCCAATATCATTTTGTTAAAATAGAAAACAATCAACATAATTTTCATATGAAGTTACTCTTCTAATTATCTGCATATCATTTAGTCCTCCTGCTGCTTCTTTCATTGGCAGAAAGTGAAAGACATCGAAGTATGTTTGGTTCTGTCATTCAGGGTTTATAGATCTCAGTTCTCCTTAGCTGGGTTATGGATCACAGGTAGGGTACCCTGTATATGTTGTATATTTAGTACTGAGCAAGTGGTATTTTTTAATAGCCTGGGAACCTAAGGTTTACGATGAATAATTTCCTTATTCAAGCATAGTAGATAATTTTTCTTGTTGGTAGAGCATTGTTAAACTTGTATGCAATCATTGAAAAGTAAAACCGATGTTATTTTAGAATTCTTCCATAGACTAAGAATCATGTACATACGATTATAGCAAAGATGGGTTAAAATTAAATTTTAACACTGATGCCTTTGCAATTGTTCAGAGCAGATTTAATAGTTTTAGTCAATAAAATACCTGACATCAAATAGCTATTTTCTGTCTTGTAACTGTATAGGTTTCCTTCCACCTTCTCCAGAATTGTAATTTTGTCTGTTTATATTTTACTTCTAGACAGAAGCTGCTGAAGGGACAATACTTCCTAAAGGTATCTGTTTAGAAAAAAAAAAACAACCCAAAAACGAACCCCCCCTATTTTGGAATATCCATATTTTGCATGTATAGTAAAAGAAATGGTTAATTTAAAAAATAACCCTATTACATTTTTAAATAAAACATGACAGGCAAATTGTTGGATGATACTCTTCCATTGCTTCATTGCTTCTAAGCAACTGCAGAATGAATTTTATTTCTCTTGGGGGAAATATAATCATGGTTGGATAAATATTGTAAAGTAAAGATTGTAAATCATGAAAGAGGTATGTATAGGATACAGTCTTTACAGCTAGTAAGGATGCATCAAGTATTGAATTAGTAGTGCTGTGGGATGAATGTTAAAGAATACTGAAACGAAACAATCATTGTTGCTTTTCACGAGGCAGGAAGAGTTGGTCTGTTAAATGGCAAGGACTAGGGAGCTGAGAAAGCTTAAATAGCTTGTTATGTGTTCCAGTAATGTTTTTCCCAAATACGAAGCAATAAAAAGTCAAGACAGTTAAAGGGGTAGTAGGAAGACAGTCATGCAGGTTCATCCCAGGGAATGATAGCTGTTGCTAATAAGAGTGGTTACACAAAACCTATTTTAGAAATCTCTCAAACACTGCTCATTTATGAGAGTGAAAATCAGGTTAAAAAATTTTGTTCTTTGAACAATCTTGTTAAGTAAAGAAGAAATTAGTCATTTACATGTAATAGAAGAACTGGAAATAAGTTTTTACAACTAGCAAAATTCTCAAATTGGAAATACAATTCCTTTGGCTAGATATTTGCAAAGGTGTCTTAGAGTGCTATAGTCAATACTGTCCGATAATTGGATTCATCCTTGTTAAATTGTTTTGGTGGTGGTTTTTTTTTTTTAATTTCTTGTTTTAGGTGATGTCTTACAGAATCCTTTGGTACAAAGTGCCATAAACATGGGTTTCAGTTTGTCTGAGGTTAGGAACACCATGGAAAAGAAATTGCAGATGTCTGGAGAAAGTCACATATCTGTTGGGGATCTGGTAGCAGACTTAAGTGCTCAAAAAGAAAATACAAGGGAAGAAGAACCAAATGAAATCTCAGTTGAGCAAGATGAGCTTATTCAGTTACAACACCTCTGTGTGTACTTTTGTATTGGCTCTTTAGTCTGTGAAATACATCTTACTGTTGTTTGTTTATTCTGCCTTCTGATCCAAGTCTTACTTAAGGCAAAGTTACAGTACTGTAACTTAAAATTCAAGAGATTTATTTTTGGACATAAAAAAAAGCTGAACAAAGATGTTAAATGTTAAAATATATGAGTGTAGCAGCATTTATAAATATCATCTATAAAATAAGTAGTATTAATACCTCAAAAGTGTATAATATTGAGGTAATAGTCTAGCGTGCTTCTGGGAAAGGTTATATATGCTAGCTAAAAAGCCAAAATTATTGTGACAATGGCATTTAAAAAAAAAAAAAGCAAGAATAACTATAGATGTGGGGACCCTGGTGGCAAAATGAAATAGACACAGCAGCATACTGTCAGATATTCAGTATACTCAAAATGAAAAACTCTTAGTAGGGGACTATTTATTGTTCAGTATAAAATTTTGCATGGGATAGAAGCATTTTCCGTCTTGGCCAGTAAGAAAAAGTGTACTTCTAGATGGTGTTTCTTCTCAGTTATTTGTGTTCCAGCTATGCTAGGACAGGCAAGTTATGCTCAGAAAGCCATTGCAGTACACTCTGCAAATAGACCACAACCGAGGTTTCTAACTCAGGAGACTTGTAGTTTAAGACGAGTATATGGATGAATTCATAGGGAGGGAAAAGACCGTCTGGTTGGCACGAGAGGCAGAGAGCGTACCAGCCCACTCTTTTTAACAAGATTTGTAATGGACGTTATGGGGGAAAAAGAACTTGCAATGAAGATAGACATTATTTTTGTGGTTGGCTGTGCAGAGCTTTCCCCAAGTGGCAGGGGAAGGCTTTTGAAGTTTGCGTTTTCAAATGGATCATGCTGGAATAATAAAGAGCTAATGTACAATGCAAAATTGATTCTTTCTGTATTACAAATTTTAAAGCTTTTGACATATGGGCATTTTGAAAACAGAGGCAGGGAAGGAAATCACATCCTCATTCTTTCCATCGGGTAAACTGTCTGGAAAAAAAAAATAAAATCCAAATTACGTAACCAGTATCAACGAGCCTTTCTTTCACCTTCAGTACAAGTTTTGGGAAGGTTGTCAATGGGAAGTCTGTGAAAAGAATGGTTCCTGACTGAAATATGCATATCCTAAATTCTATAGATATTTCAAGCTCTTGCAAATATAGATAGCTGAATTGCCTGCTTGCATTGGCCTGGGAAGTGTAATGAGATGGGGGGGGGGAAGAGGATTCCATGCTTCAGCTTGGTTTCCTATCCCTTGTAATTTTGTTTTCTTTAAAAAAGGTGTGACCTTTAAATCATATGAAGAAAACCTTGTCCTTGTGTGTAAAGGAAAAAAAAAATTTAGTGGTACAAAGTATGTTAACTTCTTTTTATGTGTTTTATTTTCCTTAGATCTCAGTACTGAAGAGAAGTTAAGACGCTTGCAGGAAGAAAAGCTTTGTAAAATTTGTATGGCTAAAGACATATCAGTTGTCCTCATTCCCTGTGGTCACCTAGTTGCCTGTAAGGAATGTGCTGAAGCACTTAATGAATGCCCTCTGTGTCGTACAAATATTATGAAAAGACAGGAAGTTTTTATGTATTAGTGAAATACACAGCACTGTGGATGCAAACGTTTCCTGCTTTATTGCTTTAAATAAGTGTAATGTAATGTAAAAAATGCGGTTAATTCCAGGATGTAATCATATGGCAGTACTTAGATTTTTCTGCTGTCAAACTCTACATACATTTTAACATTTTAAAAATTATTTTCCTTAAGTGAATTTTTCATATGTAAAAGTGATGCGAAGCTTTATTTATGTGATCGTTCCTTTGCTTCACTTTGGGAGGACTCTGTACGACTGAAGTTTGTGCAAATATAGTTGTATAAAGAGTCTGGCCCTCTATAAAACTTGTAAATAAGTAAGTGAATTTAAAAAATTATTATATACATGTATATTGTATCTGAGACTTTAGCTTCTCAAAAACGTTACGTAAGATTGAAAAGGTTTTCTTATTTCTCTAACTTTGGTTGTGACATAATTCAGAGAATAAACGTAAACCTGCTGCTGCAATATTTCACCTTATGTTTACTACTATTACTTTGTAAGTTTGTCTGTTTTGATATATAATTCCTGTCTCCCCATTTTTTTTCTGGTTTAGATGTATAAATTGGCTTCAGTAAACTGGTTTTAGCCATCTGTTTTTCTCAAAAATCCCTCTGTACATAAAATGTACATTAATTTCATTCCTTAAAAGAGAACTCAACAGAAATGAAGGATATTTTACATACCTTGTGCCCTTCATGAAAGGAGCGGTCTCATTTTAAAATTGCCCCCCTACACAAAAAGCTGTTTGTTGTTTGATTTTTTTTTCTTGGTTTTTTTTTTTAACATTTAGCATTATCCCAACTCATTTATCTGCTCATACTTTGCAGTGCTTCTGTTTGTTTGTCTGTTTTTTCATAAGAGAAGATTAAACTCTATCTGAATGAAAATGCTTTCTTTTTTATTTTTTTATAATTCACCAGTAATGTTAGAAATCTTTCATTTTTGTTCTTGGCAGTTTGCAGCATTTAAATGAAAAAGTTAAGAACTGTTCTAATGAGAGTCACCTTAAAATACTCATTTCTTACTGGACTGATCCTCAATTCTCCAACTGAAACACTATTATAGCTTTGTATTTTTAAGTACAGCTGGTTTACGATCACTCTACTTAATTATGTGACTTCCTTATTTTGTGGAGCTACTAATATGTTCTGTGTATATATTTTTCTCTGACTCCTACACACTAATATGTTTAGAATGTACAGAATATAGTTTTTCACATGATAAAAGGTTTAAATCCAATACACAGAAATTTAATGTCTATTTTTTCTAGTTTTTTAAATATGTGCTGTGATTATATGCTGGTGTAACGTTATGAATATTTAAAATAAAGCGCAACCCAGTTGTTCCTTGATCAGCATATTTGATTATCACATGAAAAAAAAAAATCATAACAAAAGGTTGCTTTCTGTTGCTTTTTTGTTTTGTAATTCAACTGTTACTAATTTAACCTGAGTGTTATTAAGGATAACAAATGTATTTTAATTAGAGAGGAAATAAACTCTATTGTTTGTATAAATTGAAGTTCATTAATTATAAAATTAAAATATGTTAATTTTGCTATTTTTTTGTAATCAATTAGAATTTGGTTCTTAGGAATACATGATGACTAGAAATTCATAAAGAATTTGTCACAGGTTTTATTTTGCCTTTTCGTGCCTTTGTGTGAAGAGTTTAGTGTTTCAGATAATTCATGCACGCGGGGACTTTTCAGGACAGATACGGAGTGGCAATCCTGGCAGGCTTGTTTCTGGCTCCCATTTTCACTTATGGGGAGGGTTTTCTGTACTTTTCAAGGGAAATTAAAGGGGAGGTGTTTGCCTCTGAGCTGGTGTATCTTGCCTGAAATAGCTTGTTGAGTTAGCGTTGCGAACCGTGTTACGCTGACTTGCTTAAGCAGATGGTTTGTTACCTAACCTTGACCTAAGTCATGTGAGGGAGACTCTGGATGAGCTGGATCCAACTCACAGGCTGCAGATCCTGGCACGCAGCTCGACAAAGCCCTGTCTGGGGAAGAGATTGACCACATTTTACTTAGCACTGTTACAAAACTAAATCCTAGTAAGGAGATGATTTTGGATGTCAGTATAATATGTAAAGTATGTCTGTATAGTATGTAAAGTGTCCCAGAAAGGCCTGGAAGTAGGTCACAAACAGTACCTTCGGAACTGAAATGGAGAGCAAACGCATTGTCCAAATAATGTGCAAGCAAATAGCATAAACACTTCATGTTAAACCTTGTTAACTTTCAAGAGGTATACTGTATCCCGTATTGTAACTTTTTGATAAATGTTACAAAAGATACAGTAGCAATTCAAATTTTAATCACTTAGGAACATGAAAGGGTTAAAAGCCCGTTAGCGAGACGACAACAACTGCTCTGTAGGTTTAGGTTTTTTAAAACACTGTAATCAGTTCTAGTCAGACTAAATGTGAAAAAATAATTAGCATAGTCATCAAATTTTGACAGCTTGAATTAGGAAGATGTTTTTTCAAATTACTTTGATTTTCAGTATCTTAAAGAAACAGAAGAAATTCCATGGATGCTGATGCTGGGCTGAGTGTTTAAAGAGCTAGAAATGAAGGGTGCAAATAAAGGGAGCAGAAGCACAGGTGCTTTGGAAAGGAGGTTGGTAGCAGGACAAAGATGCCTTGGGAGTTGATTTTTATAAGAGAGTTACCTGGAATGAAGAGCTATGGAATATATTCAAGCATCAGCATTCAGTAACTTTCTCCTAGTAGCTTCTATGTAAAAATCTTTCTTTCATTTTACTTGCAACAGCAGAATGATTTGCTGCTCTAGATACATCGCAGACTTACAGGGGTTTTTAATATTGTGTTCTGGAACTGTTTTGTTTAGGAAATTGCATGCCTAATTTAGGAACAGAAAGCTAAAAAAAGGAAGACCTATAGATCCAATTTTTTTGTTACGCATTTAGCTTTTTCGCACTGCCTCGAAACATGGGGCTTGAAACGTAATACTGACTGACTCTACTGGCTGCAGGTGTCTCTGCAGATACTTAGCTGTCCGTGCTTTTTTAAATTTGTTTTGGGGCTTGATTCAAAGCTCCTAGCACAAGAAAAAGATTTTCAATTATCATATATTTTTTCTAAATAGAGGATTTAAACACTTCTTTTAATATTGCCTGGTTAGGTTTGACCACAGTGCTCCAATGTTTATTTTTGTTAGCTGTATGTGCAGCCTGAAGCTACAGGACAAATAGTTTGTCAAAGTTTTCAAAGCACTGTTGTTAAGCTAAGACGTGGGTTTTTAAAGTTAGCTTTTATGCTTGTTTTTATTGACATTTACAAAAATTTAAATACAATGGGTTGTTAGAACTGAATTATAAGTGGGTGGGAGATTAATGGGGACACTTATTACCGTGTTCACGTGAAGCTTCAAGCTAAGTGTTGCATACTAGGATTAAGCGTTAACAAGGGACGGTGGCGTCTGCTGCCACAGTATTTAGTAGCTACTCAGAAGAGAATCTGTTCTGCCTTCCAAGGGGTGCAAGTTCCAGCGCGATGATGTGTAAGGCCTACCCGCAGGGAAGGTCGGCTCTTCATAGACTGAAGGAGGAGCTGGAGATTTTTTTGGCTTTTGCAGTGTTTTCCTGCGGCGGTAAGTACGCGAACAGTGAGTTGTTAGGCGGTGTTCTTTTTTACCTCCGCTTTGTGCATGATTGACTCCTATCAGCGAGAAGGCTGGCTGCCAAGGAGTGGGCTGGAGAAGCGCTGCCACTGCTGCCCCGGAGGCTTTTCATTGCCCGCCCTGTGCAGGACAGCCGGACCGGCCTCGGCTCCTGAACCGGCTTCGTGAAGGGCGATGGTCGCCTTCGCTGTAGAGTCAAATGGGAAGAGCCAGTCTAGTGAGGTCACCGTCGTTCCTCGTGGAACTGAAGTGAATGCTCTCCCCCGTACTGTTTTTTTGTGTGTTTTACGTGCGTAAGTTTTAGTGAGTAGCTTGGAAAATCAAGAAAACCTGTCCTCCCCCATGACCCTGCCCTCGCACGGATTCAGGTTGTTGAAAGTATCTTGCCATCTTCGCGAATGCCACCGTGTCACCTTGCTTCAAGAGATGTACTGGGGCTGCTGTACAGCGTTTAGTGTGCTGTAGTTATAATGGGGCTTTCTGTGAGGAGGCAAACGACCTGTGATAATAAAGAACCTTTGCTGAAATTCAGATTTTATCTTTTTTTTTTTTTTTTTTTTTAAACCAGGAATTCCTATTAAGCAATACGGACATCAACGTTACAGTAAAACTATGAGTATTAATTCAAAGAATGTGGTTCTGTGACCAACTTATCAAAACAACTTGTTTTTTCCTAGGACAGGAAAGAAGACCATATATATTCAGTTATAAATGGCTTGGATAAACAAAACCCCAAGGAAAATCTGGGGAAAAAAATGGTATTAATTATATTGTGAGTATATAATATTTCAAGGTAGGTGAAAACTACTTGGTTGCCTTTGGATGATTATTAATTTACAGGTTTATAGCCTGGACAGCAATTGATGATAGGTGAGATAAAATGCTTGATAAATGAGACTTGCTGGAAATGTACTGGAGAGATACTTGAATTAGGGTTTTGCTCTTAGATTGAAAAACGGCTTTTACTATCAAAAAATGAAAAACACTTTTGCAGAGTCCCACTGTGAAAACATCTAGGAGAATCGTTACAGTAATTACTGAAAAGCCCAGTGTAGTAGAAATGCACATGGTCACCTGCAAATTTTGGAGAATGAATTAATCTAACTTCCAGAAATTACCAAGACAGCATTTCAACTTATACGTTACGTCTTTTTGATCTTACCAAGTTAGATCTTGCTGCAAAACTCTTGACACAATTTCTCTTATGTTACTTAGTTTTCCACAGTATGATGAGTCATCACTTAAGCCAAAAAATTAGTCTTCTGAACACAAGCTTTTCAAAAGTGGGTGTCAAGCCACAGTCCTCTCTTCCTTTTAATTCTTGCGTAACAGAGAGAGGCTTCTCAGT